CGCCAGCCTGTGAGCTTCCTGAGGGCAGGGATACTGCCTGGTCTCTGTTCCATTCCCTGCCCCTAGTGCAATGCACAGCTCCGATGGGTACTCAATTCCCAGCTCCAGATGGATACTCAATTCCCAGCTCCAGATGGATGAGTGGACCGATGACACTGTCCTCCTATGTGTGCGGGTGTAGGATTGGCGTGGAGCTCAGAAGCTCCGGAGGGCAGTGTGGGAGGTAGGACGTTTTAACCAGCAGAGCTGTCTGGCAACAGGACTGACAGCCCGTCAAGGCGGTGACTGGGTGACTCCAAAACTGGGCTTCCATGGTAAAGTCTGGCCTTGGATGGGGAGCACGGACCAGAAGACCCAACAGCAGCCTGAAACTAACACTCAATATCTCCAGCTGGCCTGGAACTGGGGCCCTTGACTGTGGTTCCCCCAGACATGGACCGCCACTCACCACAGGAGGCAGTGGCGGCGAGACCGCTTGGAAGGAGAGGTTGGGGGGCGGGGTGGAGGTGGGGGTGGGCGTGGGGACTCAAGTCAGGATCATACACGCCTATCACCACAAGAGGGCGCCCTGGGCTTAGACTTGCCCTGAGCGTGCAGGGGGACCAGGCGGGGAGAGGCTGGTCTTGAGGCAGGGCTCTGCCCCAAGGTGTGATTAGAGTGGCCGGACCCAGGCCCAATGCTGGCCCCGAGGTCAAAAGAGTTCATCGGAGGACAGGATTGTTATGCTTTTTTAAAATTAAATACATATATTATTATCTATTATTCAAAACCTTCAAGAGCAAAATGGGCAATGAGTTTGTTTGTACTCCCTCTAGACGGGTGGGGTGGGATGTCTATGGCTGAGACTCAGCATTAGGGATATCAGGGGCAGGAAACAGCTGTGTCCTCTCCCATCCACTTCCCTGGAAAGTTGCTTTATTCTGGTTCCCAGTGCACCTCTCACTCTGTCACCCTGACACGAACCCCCTCCACCCCCATTCTGCAATACTCCTCCTGGCAACGGTGCCATCAGATTGACTCTGAGGTGTGATTTTAAAAGAGGCCTGGAATTTCTCCCTGGCCTCTATCTTCCTTCCATCTGCTCTTTTAGGAAGCCTGAGCACGGATTCAGTCCCTGAGGTCACCCCAAGGCAGGGAGCTGACCCCCGCCCCACATCCCCCCGCTCTGGGGGCCCTACAGCCCATCTGGCAGACAGAAAGAGCTAGAAAGGACTTGCTACTTGGTGGCCTTCCAGGACACCTGGCTCTCCACCCTTCTCCCAATCCTGACAACTCACACCAGCTGACATGACAGGAAATGAGGGTGAGCAGAAAGGCCTGCGGCCAAGAAATCCACTTTGCTGAGGTAGGGAACAGGGTGCGGGCCCACCTCGCTCCCCGAGCACCTCCTCCAGGGCTACAGCCTGTTTCCAGCAATGTGTCTGGACGGGGAGGCTTAACTCCTAGAGCCTTCTGTCCTTGAAGCAAAAGAAGCTGCTAGCATGCTCACATAGAAATGGGGCCTGGGGGGGGCTCGTAACTTCCTAGAGGTGCAGCCAAGGGGATCAGACGTAATCCCAGGAGGACCAGAAGGACCCCCAGGAGGGATCCACGTTGATCACAGTTTGGGGACAACAGGAGTTAGGCTTTGGCTGCTCTCTGAAAAAGCCCTCCAGCTGTTGAGGGGGTAGGGGGTAAAGGAGGAAGTGATGGGTCATTTGCATATCATTTGTATGTGATTTGCATGGTGCTCTTTTGATGTCCAAAGGCACTGAAATTTCCTGTCTTTGCTTCTTTTTCCCTTTCTTTCCTCTGTTCCTTTCTAACCTCCAGGCAACTCCCTATCTCTCTCCTCTTCCCCACAGCTTTTTCTCTTCCTGGCTAAACAGAGAAATGGAGTATTAGGCCACGGAGGTGGCACCTTCCCCACCTCCCATCTGCCCAGAACTCAAAGAGCTGATTTCATGGAGACTATGAGTGTTCCATAGAAGCACTCATAGTCTCCACGAAGGAGGGAGGGACAAAGGGGTCTTGTGCATTCCTGTTCCAGTTCATCTAGTTGAAATGGTCATCAAGCAAGTCACAGAGGGAAGGAATAAAAATCATCGAACCCTGCCCCTTGCCCCACCCACCCTTCAAAGGCCCAGAAAGAACAGAAGAAGGAGGAGCAGAGAGAACAGAGGGTCTCTGCTCTGCCTTTGCTTGCCGTGTCGTGTGACCTTGGGCAAGTCCCACCCCCTGTGGACCTCTGGCCCCTCATATGATTATCTAGGTTCCTTCCACCTGGAGTTGTATGCTCATAGAAGGGAAGAGCAGAGAAGAGGAGATGGGCTCAGACACTGTAGGCCAGGATTAAAAGTACCAGCTTTGGAGTCAGGCAGGCCTGGTCTAAATTTCAACTCTGCCATCTACTAGCTGCATTAACCTCCCTGAACCTCAGTTTCCTCATCTATAAAAGGAACCTAAAAATTGTATGTTCCTCCTAAAGGTGTGATGACTGAATGAAAAGGTACATGCCCAGCACGTAGCACTTTCTTGGCCTATAGGAAGCATTCAATCAATATGGATTGAATGAATGAGTAAATGAATGAAGGTGAGGTCCTGTCTGCTACCTCTCCCCCACCCCTCTCACCTTCCCATCCTTCCCCCAATCACCCCCTCTCCTGGTCCGGAACCCAAAACTGTCCTTCCAACTCTGAAGCTATAACGCCCCATCTCTTCCCCAATGGGCCCCATCTCCAAGGGTTCCACCCCCACCCGCATCCCCAGGACCCCAGTATCCTAGGCTACTAGAGCTGGAAGACCCTTAGAAATCATTAGGTACATGCTCCTCTGGCTTCTGGAAAACTAAAGCCCAGAAAAGAAATGTAACTTTGCACATGGAAAAGAGAAACAGGTTCCAGATACTGGCGGTCAGAGAATCAGACCCTTGGGGAACACGGCTAAACAAATGCTATGCACATAGAGATATGGAAATCACAAGCGCACAAGGGTATATAAACTACGTGCAGGCATTTTTCTAGGATGATGGTAGGTGAAGTGCAGTTGTAGATAAGAAATGGCCTCAGGCTTGGGGCCAAACCTGAAGTGGAGGAAGGGAGGGAAAGTAGAGGAAAGAGGAGGGAAGGAAGGGACAGTCTGGCAGTGTGCCAAGGTGTGGGGGGTGTGTCTCTGGGTTCACTAGGCCTCTGAAAAGCTACTGATCTCTTTCCTCAGCCAGAAGAAACAGGAAGAAAGTCTCCTCCCTTCTTGCTAAGAGTGGGCGGAAGAAAGGTTGGTGCGATTGGGGGAGAGTGGTTTGTGTGGACCCGAAGAAGCACTTGTTAAACACTTTCCCTCCAGGGCCACTGTGGCACCCACTGGGCCCTTTCTGACACCTGTTGTGTACCCTGCACTGTGTTTGGTGCTGTGGGGGCAGCCAATCAGTTAACAGCCAGGGGATGGGATAAGAAAAGTCCTGCAGAGCGAGCCACAGGGCTATTAAGAACATTGAAACGTTATGGTAATTTAATAACAGATCAGATCACTTCCAGCTTCAGAAGGAGGTGACATTTGAATTGTGCACGAAGGGAGAAGAGTGCAGAGTTTTAGAATAGGAGCCCTGATATTTACTGGAAGGGTAACTTTGGGCACACTAAATTCTCTAAGCCTCATTTTTCCCATCTGTAAAATGGAAATAATAACAGTCCAGTTTTCGAGTTGTTATGAGGACTAAACAAGATCAGGTGCCTCTCAAGTGTTGGTTAGCACAGTGCCTGATGCACTGAAAGCTCAATAAATGCTGGATATTCTAATGGGGATTATTGGGGTGGATGGTGGGTGGACATACCAACTGGAAAGAACAGTGCAAACAAGGCATAGAGGCAGAAAAGCCCAGGACTTGTTCTGTAAGCAGGTTGAGAGGGAGACCTGTCTGAAAAGAAAGGCGAGGTCTGTCCTGCTGTGGGCACACGGCTTTCAAGGTTTATACACAGGTGGTCTCTCCGCCTTGGCACCTCTTCCTGGGACCTGAAGAGTGGAGGAGAAGGGTGGGGGAAGCTCAGGTGACGAGCCTATGATGGGTGCTGCAGAGAGCCCTGGAGTGGGAGTCCAGAGACCTGATCCCAGCCAGTTTCCTTCCATCACTAGGGAATTGTGTGCCTTTGGACAAGTCACTTCCCAGTTCTGTAAATGAGGAGGTGGCTGTTCCCACAGCCCCTGACACTAGTAAATAGCTTTCACATCATACCCTCATAGAGCCTCGCAGCAACCTGGGACCTGGTAGGGCAGGCAAGAGACACTATCTTCACCCAGAAAATGTGATAATTAGCTGGGCCCCATCTAGGTCCCAGGATGTGGTGAGGATGCACGGGGGCCCTAGGTGAGCTTGACCACCTGCTAACTTCGGATAGATAGATGCCAGTTAAGATTAACACCTGCCCCGTTTTACGGATGAGTAAGCTGAGTTCGGGGAGGTGATGAGCCTTGTCTCATGTCACACCGCCGGTAAGCGGCAGAGAGGTAGGATTCCAACACCACATTCTTCCCGGCGCACTCCCGCGGCTTCTCCAAACACTTCCAGAGTTCCTCGCAGAGCTGGGGTGTCTGTCCAGACGGAAGCTCAGCCCGCCCCCCCGCCCCCCCGCTGGTTAATCTGCCAGGGGTTCCTCAGTAGGGCAAGCTGTTGGGCCGGGCGCGGTGGGGAGAGGCCATTGGCGGGTCCGAGGCGGACAGGTGTTCCGCAGGGTCAGGACCCGCCCCGGCAGCACCGCCTGCCCCCTCCCCCGGCCCCCGGCTCCCCGAATGCAAATCGCTGCTTTGCCTGGGCCGGGGGCCAGGCGCGGGGGCCCTGCCAGGGGGCGTGGCCCGAGGCCCCCGCCCCGCCGCGCCGCGTGCTCACCTGGGGAGTGTGGCAATCCCGCCGCGCCGAGTGCTGCCCGGGTGGGCGGGAGGGAGCAGCGGAGCGCGCTACGGCTGCGGCGACGGCTCCGGCGGCGGCTCCCGCGGCGGCGGCGGCGGCGGCCGGGGGCGGGAGGAAGGAGACCCTGGCTTCCCCGGAGGCCCGGCTGGGGCAGCCGCGAGGGGCCTGGGGGGAAGCTGGCTTTGGCCCCGCCTGGGGCAGGATGGTGAATCTGGAACCCATGCACCCAGGTGAGGGGCGGAGGGCGCGAGCTCTGACAGGTGTCACTGTGCTCGGGCAGGGGCGAATGACAGGGGCGCCGCTCTCGGGGGGGGGGGGGGGGGGGGGGTTCCCCCGCGGCCCGGGGGGGGCGGGGTGGATAGGGGGGCGCCCCGGGCTGGCGGGGGCAGGGTCCGGATGGGGCTTTGGGGAAGAATGAAGGTAGGGGCTACGGTGGAGGGTGGGAGGGCTTCTGAAGCCTCGCATCTGGAGAGCGCTGGCATCTGGAGAGCCGCAGCCCTGTGGGACCTGGGCCTGCTGAGCTGTGGTAGTCTCGGGGAAGTTGCCCTGTTCACTGGTTGCAGAAGGGTGGCTCACTGGCTCAGCCAGGGGTGTGGACCTTGGAGTGCAGAAGTGAGGGAAATACGTGTATCCACATGTTGCGTGTTTGGTGTCCCAGGCATTTACGTGAAGTATAGGGAGAGTGGATATTGGTAAGGTCTAGGGGCTGCCTAGGAAAAGTGAGTGGAGCTGGGCATTTACAGAGGCACACCTGGGGCAGGTGCCATGGTGCACATGTATTGATCAGGGCCTAGGGAAGCATGTGTCCGTGTGTGTCAGAGGTGAGTCTACCTGTCCCCATGTGTGTTGGGAGAGGAGGTGGAGCAGACCCCACCCGTGAAGGTGTACCTGCTCCCCTGCTCCGTGAGTCTAGGCAGTGCCGTAGGCTGGTGCGCGGCGGGGCTAGGGAGTCCGCGTGCAGGGGCTGAGCCGGAGCTCTGTGGGACGCACAGGAGGAGAAGCCTGCACAGGGCCCTGTGGGAAAGCGCTTCCATCTCTGCGTCTGGGGGGTGGGGGGGGGCAGTGAGAGATACATCCTCTGTGTTCCATGTCCCATGGATTCAGATACCAAGCCCTCCTCTCCTCAGGGGTGGGAACCTAGGCCATGGAAATGCTTTTCCGGGAGTCAGTTTCCCCTGCGTGAAAGGTCTATGGGCATGGAGTGAACCAAGACCCCTCCATTCACCCTGCTGATCCCTCCTTCCACAGCCAGGCAAAGACCAGAGCTACTAATCCTGGAGGTTGGACTTGGTGTTGGGGTGGGCCTTCTGGAGGTCTGAGGGCCTGAGCAGAGACGGACTGATGTGGAGAAAGCTGAGCCTGATTTGGCCATTTCAAACCAGCAACTTGCCTCTTAAAGGGGGCAACACCCAATGAATGACCTTCATTAAGGACTTCAGAGCTGTTGACAGGAATTTTGTTACCTGCTCTCCTTTCTGGAGGAAGAGTGAGGGAGTCAATTCTCATGACCTACCCCAAGGAGCAGGGTAGGCTGGAGGCTTTGGCCCTTGCTGGAGCCGCCAATCCTTGAAATCAAGCAGCAGTGGGTGCACGGGGGAGACCCAGTTTCCCAGACGCAGTCCTGGTGGGGCTGAGTGAAAACCAGCAGATGGTGAGGTGTTAGCTCTGAGCGGATCCCCAGGTGCCAGGACATGCCAGGGAGGGCTCGGTGTGGCGGAAAGAATCATCCAACTGGGTATCATCCAATGGTTGGGGGAAGTCCATTTTCAGACCTCGTAGCACCAGCATGGAGCTGGACATAGCTGGGGGCAGGTCCCGGGTTCTCCTTCCTCCACTTTCCACCAAGAAGGCCTAGGTGTGCATGGGAGCAAAACCTGAAGGCATGCCCCCCAGTGGGAAGTTCTTTAGGACCAAGATCAGAGACTTCCTGGGGGTTTTCCACCTCATTGTCTACTGGAGGCTCCTGCTCTGGGGGAAGTGGGAGGAGGGGGGGCAGCTGGGACCCAGCAGGGAGGCCACCTGGGGGCTAAGAGGATCTAGCTGAGAGCAGGAAAGAGAGGGTGAGGTTGAGGTGAGGAGGCCAAGCCCTCCATGCCTGGCCTGGGAGGAAGCTCCAGGCTGACGCTTTTCAGAAGCCCGGGCACCTCCCCCAGCCCTGTCCCCTGCAGGCAGACACAAAGGGGGTGATTGAGCTAAACCCAGGGTGCGCTAACTCCTCAGGTGGGCTCTCTGTCCACCTGTTTACCTCGGGTGGGTGACCTGAGTCATCTCTCTACATTTGCTTGCCACTGCTCTCTAGCCCGCTTCTGTAGTCTATCTCCCCTCAGGGCTGTCTGGCCTCCCTGTGAGGTTTCCTGGCCTCTCTGTGGTGTCTGGTTCCCCTTTGGAGACCTCAAAGGGATCGCTCAATTTGGGACTTTCTGTGGGGCCTCTCTAACTAGGTCTCCATTTGAGGGCTCCCTTTGCTGGGTCTTCTCAGTGGGCTTTTTAGTCCGGGGTCATCTTTGTAAGGTCTTTCATCGAGGGCCCTGCTGTGGGGTCTCTGAGGGAGGATCCGTCTATGGAGTGTCTCCCTGGGGGCCCCTGTCTAGGGTCTCTCAGTCCAGGATCCTCTCTGGAAATCTGGTCTCTTCTGAGCCCTACTTTTCCCCTCCCAGTGATCCTGTGTCCTGTGGATGCTTTATAAATAGCACTTGCCCTGTAAATCCCCAGTCCTAGGCCCTTGGGGATTCCCCCTCCATGGATCTACTGCAACAGTTTGGGGGGGGTTGGAGGGGGAGCAGGGGCACACAAAGTAATGCGTAAGGTCCCCCACTCAGCAGCTCCACAAGCACTGCGGCCCCTGAGTCAGCCCATCTTTTTGCTTTGATAACCTGGGTACCAGCCGTGATTCAGGTTGGCCTGGGACCTCAGCACTTTGTATTTTGTAGAACACCTCTCACGTGGGAGCACAAACACCTGAGCAGGCATGAGGTCACCAGACACAGGGGCACCCAGGCTAAGGAGGGGCTCCTCCCTCCCAGGCCCAATGCAGGTAGATAAGAGTCAGACAGAAAGCTCAGGAGGGAGAGAAGAGATGGAGGAAACAGTGGGAAACAGTGGGAAACGAGCCGGAGGGGGACACCTGGTTAGTCCCAGAGCATCTCTTTTTTGCCCTTTTCCTCACTGTGAGCTGTTCTCTATCAGCGTTGGGAAAGGAGGATTGAGTCTCACAGACTGATACCAGTTCCAGCTCAGGACCATTGGGTTGGAATGTCTCTTGAGAGGAAGTGCATTTCTCTTGAAGAAGAGGCGAGAAGCATCTCCTCCAGGGGAGAGTTGGAGCCCTGGCTAGCTCAGAAGTAGGACCGGTGGGCCCCTTGAATTCCCTGTGGTAGAAGTGCCTGCAGCAGTGGGTGTGGGAGGGAGAAGTCAGGAGGGAGCTCCAGTCCCTTCCGAAGAGATGAAGATGGACAGTAGGAGAGAGAGTAGTGGGCCTTTTGTTTTCCTGGCGTAGCCTGGACCCAGGAGGTCCAGGACACCGTGGACACTCAGCCTGCAGCCCGGGGAAGTGCTGCCCCTTGCACTTTGCTCCTGCACGTTCACACACACATCCTGGTTCACAGATGTGCAAGGAGGGGTTGCTGCTGGGTCATGCCAAGGCACAGGGAGGTCAAGGCCAGCGGCCAACATTTCGCTCCAGCTTCAGAGGGTGACAGCGCCGGTGAAGCAGATGAGGGGCTGCATCTGGTATCTGGGTTCTTACACGGACCAGCTGAGCCTCCCCAGGGAAGGGAGTGATGGCAAGGAGCCTCCTCAGTTGCCAGCTGAGATTAGAACAGCAGAGAAGCCTGACCGCACCCCACACCTCTCTCACTCACCTCTGGCAAGTGCTGTCCGACAGGCGAAGGGTTATGGCGTCTCGGCGAGTTTCGGTGCTGGCCCATTTTTAGGCTGAGACCCAAGAGCTCGTCCCACCCATCAGCCTCGGCCTCCTACCCAACAGGAACAGGTTCTCAGTGTCTTAACATCCTATGGGAATTAAGAGGTTTTACAGATCATCTCAGCCTGACCCTCCATTCAGACTCAAATCCCTGTCCAATCCCAAAGTGTCACAATGTTGCTCCCATAATGGGTACATCCAATGAGTAGATGTCCTGGAAGAGTGTGGAGCCTTTGACTCCTTCAAAAGTTAATTTTAGACATGATTAGGACTACCTTTTATGCTAATTTAAAAGATCAGAGAGATGGCTTTTGGGTAGAGTTAAAGGTGGTGCAGGGAATGGGTGTTGGAGGAGAGTTTGGGTTACAGGCATAGAATTATGGTTTAGCTAAAATGTCACCCTTCTTAAACGTCAGATGTTTGAAATAAGTTGATTCAGAATACCTGGTCGTCATCCCACCCTCACTACCTCTTAAATTCTTCTTGTCCCCATGAGCGTTTTTCCCATGAAGTCAGAATTGGGAGAATGCAGATGGCTTCCCAGGTAAAGGACAAATTACGATACTGCTTAGACAGAAAAACCAAAGCTGTTTACTGTAATGGGAGAAGGGGACTCCGATCGAAGCCTAAGTATCTGTTTAGTTAATTCATTTATCACGTGCTTCCTTTGTACCAGGAACTGTGCCAGGCGGTTTTCATTCAGTATCTTATTTGCTCCTCACTATAACTCTGGGGAGTATCATTTTTCTCATTTTTTTTTTTTAGCTGAGAAAACTGAGGTTCAAATATGTGGCCAGGGTCCCCCTGTGCTAGTTAGGACGACACTGGGATTAAATCCAGGTCTGTCTGCTGTCAAAACCCATGCTCTGAATTCCCAGCGCCACTGAAGCAGGTTTAAAGGCCCACTGAGAGGGCTTCCCTTGTGGCGCAGTGGTTGAGAGTCCGCCTGCCAATGCAGGGGACACGGGCTCGTGCCCCGGTCTGGGAGGATCCCACATGCCGCGGAGCGGCTGGGCCCGTGAGCCATGGCCGCTGAGCCTGCGCGTCTGGAGCCTGTGCTCAGCAACAGGAGAGGTGGTGAGCACTCACCCCCTCCCGCCCCTTCCCAGCAGTCTCTGACGTTTTCTCAGCACTGTTGAAGGATCCCTATGGGGAAGTGTAACTGAGCCGATCTATAATAGGCAATGCCCAGCTCCAGCGTGGCACTTCATGGGTGGGACGAAGCTAAGCCCATTTCCCCACTGGAGCAGAAAGCGTGGAGTAGCAGAAGCCCTTTGCAGACCTGTCCAGGTGGCCCACACTAGTTACTCTGCATATTCATGCATGACAGGCTGTACAAAAAGTTTCAAACTGCAGCAGGAAGGACTTTGGTTAGGCTGGAGAAATGCCTTCTTAAATGTAGTGCACTGAGAGGGGTGGCAAGTGTGGCTGCAGGGTTTCCCCTAGAGGTCTGTAACCATGCAGGACAGCGTGGATGTCTGGGGAGGGCTGTACGGAGCTCCAAGTATTTACCTGGGAGTCATCACTTTGACCGATCTCAAAACTATTCCTCAAACTACAGTGGCTCCCAAGGTTGCTTACTCCCTCCCCTGCTCCTGGGGTGTTCCAAGGGCTGGAGAACCTCAGGACTCCCCATCTCTGTCTTGCTTGGCATGGCAGTCACCCCTCGTGCACTGCAGTCACTACATCCCCTGGGACCACACTTTAAATCTCTGCAAGAGCCACACATATCATTGCCCTAAAAAAAAAAAAAAAAAAAAAAGTAGAAGAAGAAGAAGAAATAAAAGTCGGTTTCTTCCTGCTTTTCCTGGGGTGGAGGTCCACCCTTCTCCCTCATCCTGGTCATCTCCAGACCTCAGGCATCCAGGCTGTCAACTGCCCAACTACGTGGCCCAAATTAAGACGGGCTGCTTACCCGGGATTGGCTGCGGGGCCGGGTATGCAAATTGGCTCACCAAGACTTTATCTGGTTTGAAAGAGTTAAAGTGCTGCCCCAGAGAAGGGGGGGGAGGGGGGGTCAACATGATTTGAATAAAATATTCTTCTGTCTTTAACGGCTTCAGTATTTGGGTGGTTTCATAAGGAGAGGAGCTGAGACCGAGTTATAGCTCAAAGTTGTCTCTTTCCTTCTCTTTGCTGACCCTTGAGGAGACTTAGGGGCCTCTTAGGCAGTGGCAGCTGTCTGTTGTGGGTAAATGTTTAATTTATTGAAATGAAACAGGGCAGAGAGGCCAGACCCGCAGCACTTGGGGGCTGAGACAGGGGGCCTTGTGTAGGTCTTCTCTCTCCGCGGGACACTGACCCGCCTGCCGTCCCTTTCTTAACTGAGAATATTGAAGGAGTAGGAGAGAAGGTAAGGGCTCCCAAGGAGGGCCACACAGGAACTAGGGTTTGATCACCAGACAGTGGGTTGACCTCTGAGAATCAGGCAGAGAATAGAGGCAGGATTGGCTAAAAAAGATGAGAAGGGCAAGACTTGGTTCAAGGGTGCTCTTACCTCTCAAGGTAGAGTTATTATGAGGGGGAGGACGGGAGATGGATATTTCTTATGCTACTTTAAAAAATAACAGACATTCCCCAAATCCCAAAGGAAATGAGGATGGAGAATGGGGAGCATTCTCCCCCATTCCCCTCCCTCCGCTGTACCCTTCCCCTTGTTAAATTTTTACCAACTGAGCCTGGTGATAGAAGGAAGTGGCCATGAATGATGCAAAGGGGAGAGACCCTGCAGTAGCACTGGAGGAAGGGGGAAAGGAGGCAAGTCTGGGACGAGGGGATATGTGCCCCAAGCTTATATATATTCTAATAGTTGTATGTTTAGGAATCAGGAATTTGAAAGTCTGATGCTTGTTGTAATTACACATTCATCTTCGCTGTTTAGTTAAAGCCACATATGTCATAGCGAGAAAAATTGTGACCTGTTACTAAAATCAGTTGTGTTTTCCCTGCAGATATCAAGATGAGTGGGGATGTAGCAGATTCTACAGTTGCTCGAAGTGCTCTCAGCCAGGTGGAGACAGGTAAGGGTCTTCTCTTCTGGGAAATGAAACAGAAAAGCAAGGGCAGGACATAGTTACTGGAATTCATCGAATAATGGAATAACGTGGTACCTCTTCTGGCTTGGTCTTTCAGCCAATCAGACCCAAAGGCTGGGTCTTAGGAAATGAAGAGATTCCCTAGAGACAGGGGGTATGACCCTGGAGCCTTTGAACAGTAGACATTGGTATACAATGGAACAAAGCCTCTGAAACTAGGCTAGGAAAGGGCCAGATCCTTAGAAACAAACAAGAAGTTAGGGAGGAGATTCACTTTTTTTTTTTTTCATTTTTAAGTAATATTTGTTTTTTTGCTTTTAGTTTTTTTTACTATTTTTTTAAATAGATCTTTATTGCAGTATAATTGCTTCACAATACCCTGTTAGTTTCTGTTGCACAACAAAGCGAATCAGCCGTACGCATACACATGTCCCCATATCCCCTCCCTCTTGAGCCTCCCTCCCACCCTCCCTATCCCACCCCTCTAGGTGGTCACAAAGCACCGAGCTGATCTCCCTGTGCTATGCGGCTACTTCCCACCAGCCAACTATTTTACATTCGGTAGTGTATATATGTCGATGCTACTCTCACTTCGCCCTAGCTTCCCCCTCCCACCCCGTGTCCTCAAGTCCATGCTCTATGTCCACATCTTTATTCCTGCCCTGCAGCTAGGTTCATCAGTACCATTTTTTTTTCAAGACCCCTAGAAGCAGCAGGCTGTGTTCCCAGCTGCTACTGACTGACAGAAGGCAGAATGTGTCTCTGGTAGATGGGAACTAAGGCCTTTTAACCCCAGATTTCTCAATAATCCTACTCAAGGAACTAATCAAAGAGGCCCATGTACAAGTGTTCCTCTTCCAAATTACATGCATGTGGGTGGCAAACAGACCCAGAAAGGAGGGCTTGGTGCCTGTAGATGACTTTGCTTTGTGAATAAAAGGAAAAGGAGAGGGAAGAGTTGAGAAGAAAGTTTCATAGCTCTCTCTCTCTTTTTTTTTTTTTTTTTTTTTTCTGCGGTACGCGGGCCTCTCACTGTTGTGGCCTCTCCCGTTGCGGAGCACAGGTTATGGACGCGCAGGCTCAGCGGCCATGGCTCACGGGCGCAGCCGCTCCACGGCATGTGGGATCTTCCCAGACCGGGGCGCGAACCCGTGTCCCCTGCATCGGCAGGCGGACTCTCAACCACGGCGCCACCAGGGAAGCCCCTAGCTCTCTCTTTTAACTCCATAGTCCAAACCTTGCTTTGAAAGCTCCGTATAATTAAAAAGAACTTGAAGAAAGATGAGCATAAACTGTAACACCACCAAATAACTTTAATAGTATCCCAACAAGACCTCAATCAGTCTTTCATCTGGATCATTAGAGGCATAGAAATTAGAAGTAGAAGAGAATCGATGTCCCCCAGAGCTAAAATCTTTTCCCAAGCCTTCAGGTGCGGTCTAGTTCCATTCTTGAAGCTAAAAGACTCAGGATCAGGGACACGATAATTGGGGGTCTCGTGGAGGCATCTGCAGCGTACATTTACCATAAACTTTTCTGCCCCTCCGCCCTCCATTTAGTATTGAAACTGTCTGTTTACACGGGTAGTGGCACACGTTTCATACTTTGCTTTGTGTCTGGGAACAGTTAAGCTTGGAGAGAGTGGGCCAGTTGCAACCATTTGTCAATTGATTTATTAGCTGAGTATGTTTTACTAAAGGTCTGTGGAGTGGGGTACCTGTTCTCCCCAGTTGTGAAGAAAATGCCCTTTCATGTCCAGAACTCCAGCAAGGCTTTCATATCAGTTCACCTGATGAGTAGGAATAGGCACATCTCTGCTCTGAGCTCTTCCCTAGAGAAAAACCAGAGTCCAGAAGCCTTGATTCAGAAGTTGAGTCACCCTTTCCCAGTAGCAGGCTGGCTAGAGCCGCCCCTGTTCACCTGGGCCAGGTATATTGCCCCAGGTATGTGGTGACACAGCTAAGAGAGTGTCCATGAGGGTGGAAGTCCACACTTAACAGGATAGCTCTGGTGCTCTGTTATTAGTTATGGGACCAAGTCAAGACAACTGTGTCAGGAGTGAGAAGGACCTACATGAAACCCTGAAAAGCGATCCGGGAGACAGAGGGAGTTCAGGACCTGGGTGGGGATTAGGAAGGTTAAGGCGTTACAGGCAGGCTCAGCAAGCTCTGGCCTCCTGTCTGGGACTGTGGGAGCTTGAAGGAGAAAGGTTGAAGGAGAAAGAGTCTGAACATAAACTGGGACTTTCAGAATACGAGTGTCATCTCAGTGTCTGCCAGTTCAGAATGTGACCTTGGACCAGCCGCGTTGCTTCCCTAGGAGGCAGGAACAGATGACCTTTGAAGAGTATGGATTTAGAATCAAACAGACCTGGGGTAAGAATCACAGCTCTGCTGCTGACTGGTTTATGTGATCTGATGAGTTAATTCAGCCTCATCTCTTCTAAAGAGGACAATTAATGTCCATCTTAGAGAGTGGGTTGAGAGTTAGCTGAGATATTTAAAGCCCTTAGCACAGTGCTTGGCACATGACAGCTGCGGTCATCATTTCCTCTAATGGCATCATTAAGATTCTGTAATATACACAACGAGACTTGATGCTAAGTGTTCTGGGGCTGCAGGTGGCTGGGGTGCCCTTCTCCCCTTCACTCAGGCCAAGTGGATCAACCCTACAGGTTGATTTTGTTCCTTCCACCATTCAGGGAAAGATTCTGTGTGGGTCCTCCTCAACTCCAAAGAGACCCTTTAGTTCATCTGTCAGAACGCCTCCATTCCCAGATCCTTCACTTCTAGCGGCTCAGCTTGGTGGCTGGTAGCATCCTTACTTAGGTGACTGTCAAATTACTGCATGTTTTTAAGGGCAAGAAAAAAAGAGGCAGCTAATTAAAGTAACCAAGCTTCCTGGAAAGTCATTCTGACTCATTTTTTACAGAGGAAAACTTATCGTGAGTCACAGCGATTACCAACTTGGTTTAATGGCTTCCTTTGGATTTTTAAAAGGCAGATTCCCCTTCCCAACAGTGCCTGAATTAAGGGGTGGTTTGTCTCTGGGTTTTAAAGAAACTACAAACAAAGGTGACCTAGAAAGCCCCAGCTCCCTGAGAGCACCCTCTGTGTTGTGTGAAATCCCCAAGGTGCACGAGGTGGGAGCTGGGAAAGGGAAGTGAATTTCCCCTCCACACTGGCCAGGACTGCAGAGGAGAGCGTTCTCTAGTCCAGACACATACCTCCCGGTTGGTAGAGACCTGGCAGGGCAGCTAGCTCATCCTTTCCTTTCCTTCGGTCTATGAGGAAGCCGAGGCATGGGTGGACAGAGGAGAAATTCAGTGTCTTTGTGACAGCGCTCGGGACCAGAGAAGGCTCCCGATCCCCTGGCCCGTGTTGTTTCCACACCCTGCAGAAGACTGAAGCCAAGCTGTTTCTAGATTTCTGAACTATCAGCTTTTCTATCCTTCCTCTTACTTCCCGTTTTTACTTTTCCTTCCTTCTTGAGGCTGACACCGATTTTTTTTTTTTTCCGGTTCTCAACTGAGTGGTTGATAAGAGCATAGCCTTACCCACATTTCAGAAGCTCCCAGCTCCATAACTGACCATCCCCAAGCACCCAAGCAGATAACCCTGTGACTTTTGACCACTCTGGTCACAGTGTAGCCTCCTACACAGGGGAGGACAAATACGGTGGGCTTGAGAAGAAGAAGGGAAAGGCCAGTCACATCCACGGAGCCTCCTTCCCATACCCAGGCCCATGGAGCCAACTGTACATGCATTACCTCCTTTAATTCTTACAATTGCCATTTTTATCAATGAGGAAATTGTGGCTCAGAATGAGAAACTAACTAGCCCAGGGTCACACAGCTTCTAACCAGTAATCAAGCTCAGTCCTGACTGCAGGCTGTTAACTCCCTGCAGGTTATTGGGCAAATGTCTTCCCACCCAGACATTTATTTTCCTCCCCATTAAGGAGGGTTTGGGGCTGGATAGCCTCTAAGGGCTGAATTTTTAAAGATGTGTATGCAGTTCTGCTTTTCCATATTCTCTGCCATCAGTTCCCACACCGTGCATTTGTGTGGGGACTTCCTCAGCCCTGAGCTCTGCCCGTCTACCCCGTCACCTCCCTCAGCCCCTATATCCCCTCATTCCACCACCCCTCTCAGCCCGCTCTCCTCTGACACCTCCAGCTTCCTTGCTCTGTTCAGGCTCCGTCCTCTTCTCTGACCTCGCTGGCAGTCCTCGCTTGTTTCAGACCCTGGGCTCAGAAAGATGACGGAACAATCCCTGTCTTCCAGGAGCTTTCCTCCAGGGCTTCATGGTGGAGTGGATCACAGGGCCAACCTGTGTTTGGAAGAGCACATTCAAACAGTGCATTTGGACTTTACAACAATTCTGTGAGGGTAGATGGCACCATCCCACTTTGCAGACGGGGAAGTTGAGGCTGGTTAGCTGATTTCCCCAAGGTTCTGTATCTAGCAAATGACAGAATTAAACTTGGGTCTTTCTAGTGACTATTTACCCAGAGATGGTGGTGGGAAGACTGGGGACCAGCACAGGAAACCAGGGACAGAGGACACAAGAGAGTGGCAGCATCAGGGAGATGCCGAAATTATGGCAGTGGCTCCAGCCAAGGGGCTTGGCTCTCCTCCTTGGCCAGAGGAGAGCCAAGCCCCTGCTGGGGGGTTGGTCTCATCCAAGAGGCAGAAGCCTTGTCTGGTGCCAAAATGTGCTTGCTGGGGAAGAGAGGGAAAGAGCTGGGGTCCACTTACTCCCTTTGGTGAACTGTGGAGAGTGAGAATCTGGCCTTGGAGAGAACTGTCTCCATCTCTTCTCTCATCCTGAGCCAGCCTCACCAACACACCAGCCCCAGCTCCCCGCATTCTGCAGGCTCAGTTGTCATTGGTGGAGTGGGGGTTTGCAGGCCCAGATGACAGTGGAGCAGACGCCTTAGGACCCTTGTCCTGCTCAGAGATCTGGGAAGGAAGGGCTCCATGA